TATATATATATATATATATATATATATATATTTATATATTTGTGTACAGGTCTATGCCACGATGTAGGCCATCCAGGTCGTAATAATGCATTTTTTTCTAATGCATTAGATCCATTAGCTCTTCTGTATAATGACAGAGCTGTCTTAGAGAATTATCATTCTTGTCTTACATTCAAAACTCTTGAGAAACCTGATTGTGATCTATTTGCTGCACTTAGAACCAGGGTAAGTTTTTTTTTTTCCCTTTTTTTTTTCCTCTTTGTTTCCCTCTTATTTTTCTCCTTTATTTGTTTTATTTCTTTTTATTTATTTATTTTTTCTTTTTTTTTTCTTTATAGGAGTATTTAATTGTAAGATCGCAAATAATAGAATTAATTCTCGCTACAGACATGAAGGGACACTTCGAGACTGTCTCTAGATTTAGGGTAAGAGGTGACAGAGGAAGGAGACAGTATAAATATATTAATATACATAAATATACATATAATAATATAGATATAAATATATTGTATTTATATGTATATATCTATTATCTATTGTTTATATTAATATATTAACATATTATATTAATTATATTAATAGCAAAGAGACAAAGGAGACAGAGTTATCTTATTTCCCCTAAACACTAAATGCTAAACCCTGTAAACCCTAAAGCCTAATCAAGTATACCTAAACCGTTATTATTATTTAATCCCTACCAATACCCTAGCAGAGAACCCTAAAAGTGCCAAATAATCAGCAGTAACCCTAATAACCCTCCAAGCCCTAATTAAGGGTATATTCCTCCTCCTCCTATTCTTCTTTTTCTCCTCTATTTTTTTTTTTTCTTACTTAGGTACGGCGAAGTGCACCAGATTTTGATTTATATAGCGAAGAAGATTTTTGGTTTTTAGCAAAAATGATTATAAAGGCGGCAGATATTTCGCATTGTGGTGTTGAATGGGGAGAACACTTTGAATGGTGTCAGAGGGTACTTAATGAATTCTATAATCAGGTAATTAATTCTATTTATTTTGTTTAATTTATTTATTTAATTAAATTAAATTAAATTAATTAAAATAAAATTGAATAAGTAGTCGCATTACGGTGTTGTATGGGGAGAACACTTTGAATGGTGTCAGAGGGTACTTAATGAAATCTATAATCATGTAATTAATTTAATTAATTTATTTACTTATTTAATTAATTAAATTAATTAGTTTAATTGATTAATTAATTAAAATAATATAAATTATGTAGCCGCATTGTGGTGTTGAATGGGGAGAACACTTTGAATGGTGTCAGAGGGTATTTAATGAATTCTGTAATCAGGCAATTAATTTAATTAATTAATTTAATTAAATTAATTAAATTAATTAAATTAATTCATTAATTCATTAATACACTTATTGAGTAAGTAAGTATACTTACAAATAAATAAAATGTATATACAAATTAACCCAATAATAATATATGCCATTGTTCTTGTTGTTATTACGTTATTACTAGTATTGTTATTTCTTGATTGAGAGATGCATGCATTCTTTTTTTCTTGCTCTTTTCCTTGTCCCCCCCCCCCTTCTGCTTTCCTAGTGTTTAGGGTTTAGGGTTTTATATTGGTTATTGTTGTTTTTTGCGTATAGGGAGATGAGGAGCGTCTGCGTTCTTTGCCTATTTCTCCTCTTTGCGACCGTGATAAACATGCAGATGCTCCTAAAAGCCAAATGGGTTTTATTAATTTTGTTGCTAAACCTCTTTTTGACGAACTTGCAGCAGTAGATATAGGGGGAGCTGTAGAGTATGCCTCTAAACCCTAAACCCTAAACCCTAATTCGGTATAGAGGTGTTGTATGCATGCAATTCATAGGTTATTGTTTATTCCCTCTATCACCATACACCCATGTTCAGTAGATCGTAGCTAGTATACAGTCTATCTCTGTATACTAGGTAGAAATAAAGAAAATGAATGAATAAGAATACCCTTTGGATGCGTTATGCTGCAGGAGGGAAGTATTAGCAAATGTAAGAAGCAATGCATGCAAGTGGGAGGCCCTAAGTGCTGCAGGTGTTGTGATACCTCAGTTCCTTGAGCCTTGGTCTCCCGCTGTGCTGCAGAGCAGCAGCAGCAGCAGCAGTGGCAGTGGTTTGCCTCCTGTGGCAGCTGCTGCAGTTGCTGCAGCAGCAGCACGCGTACAGCTCAGTGCAGCAGCACCTCATGGCAGCAAACTACAAATATTAAATCAAAAAATTCAACAAAAAGCAAACGAAGGAGCAAAGACAACAAAAATAGATCTTCGTTCGTTGCTTATACATGGGGAAACGAACAGACACAGGTGCAGCAGCAGCAGCAACCAGCAGCAGCAGAACAGTAACAGCAACAACAACAGCTGCAGCAGCAGCAGCAGCAGCAGCGCAGCTACTGCAGGAGCAGCACAAAGGCCATTTTCTACTCCTCAAGGCAGCAATAAACCCCAAGGAAGAACTGCCTAACAACAATGATGGCATTTCTTTGTTTTGCTGTCCATATACACCCCATGTATAATACATATAATATATATAATATTATATATTATATGCATTATATATGTATATATACATATATATGCATATATACATATATATGTATATCTATGTAAGGGTATATATATATATATATATA